TACTTTTCCTTGAGTCTATCTGGTCGTCAATATTTTTTGTAATGGCGACGTTCACAATAGTCACTGTTGTCTGAGTGTTTTTTTTTATCGGGAGGATCTTTCTTTTTCCACCCGAAAAGGTCCTTTTTAATCGTTCGATGTTTAGCGGTCATTTTCGCTTTCTTTTAATTACTTTTCTTTTTTTTCTGTTTACTTTTTAACAAATAACAGGAAATCTTCTTCAGAAAAAAAGTGTCAATAAATAAACAGCAGACAATCCTAAAGATCTACAGAACAATGAAAAACAAATTTGCGAAGACAAGGAAACAAAAAAGACCGACTCAATCTTGTCCAATAAAAAGTTTTTGAAGTATACAATCCTTCTCAAAAAGAGGGAAAGGAAATTTAACAATTGAAAAAAAAAACGACAAAACGAAAACGTTTGACGTGTAAAATAAAATGAATAAATTTACTGAAAGACCACAATTAACTAAAAACCAGAAATTATGAAATAAATACAAAAGAAAAATTATGAAATAAAGACGTATAAAAAAAAGAAAATTCAACTTTTAATATGGCCGATGTAACACAGACAGAAATTGAAACTAAACTGATTAAATAATAATAGAATGAAAAAGTTACACTAAAATTAAATTTGGCTTGCAGCTGGACGAAGACGTGTAAAAATAAACATTAGAGCTGAAAAAAGTAACACGTAGAAAATGAAAACCAAACGTATTAAGCAAAAGGAGGGGATAATAGAACGCACTACTTAGTAAACTTCAACCAGATCATCTCACACAATTCTGACTCATTTTGGGTTACCCCTCTTTTATACAGGGCAACTGGTGAGAATTAAATTCACTCTTTAGTAATAATAGTCAGTCAGACTAGCTCGTTAACCATTACCCAACGATAAGATGCGCTTTATACTAATCGAAGTTTAGTTTGTTTTTTTTTTTAAGGTTCAAGCTGTCATCCAAACTCGCTCGTGAACCTTTACCCCATTATCAGCTGCCTGGCTGTTTTCTAGTATTTATTGAGTTAGTGACTGGATGAACGGTTTACGAAACTTTCTTTTATCATTTCACTTCAAGCAAGACGATAAATCCACCAAGACGTAAGGGATGACTGGGAGTAACTGAGATAACTTTACTGATGAGAAATGGCAATAAAAAGAACTGAATTCAAAGAGACGAATGACGATTGACGTTTCATTTAAATTTTTGAAGATTGCCATTGAAAAGAGAGCAAGAAGCTGGGCGAGTGTTCCAGAGACGAGAAGAAGAGAAAATATCAGAATAGAACTCATGGTTACATTTAGCTATTTCAATAGTAAAATGATGAGACCGAGCTGCCAATCTAGTACTGCGCTTAAATTCAGGAAGTCGAAGGGGAAACCAATAAATCACAACGAACGAATTATATGCAAGCCTCAGATTCGAATTTTGAAAAAATTTTCGTCTAGAATACATTCGGCTTTTAGGCGTTTGTTACAAAAATAAAACTATTAATATCTTCAAAGGTAATTTAATTTGAAACGTTAATGCATAAATAAGTAAAGTCCGAAGGCAGATCATCCGGCTTGATACTTTGATTTAGCTGATCTGGAATTTTTACCGTATAATGTAAAATCTGTGTGATTCATATTCACCACGAAATTAAGTGCATTAACAATGAAGGATATTACGTTGAAAAATAAATATTTTTTTGTGTAAAATAATTTTTTTATTTTGGTATCTTTTTTTTGGGGGGTGGGCGTGGAGTGGTGGATATGGGCATATCGATTTACCCGAGTGTGATGAAATAAAATCTTATCTCACGTGTAGATATAAATCAACCCCATTCACTTTACATTGGAGAAAGGGCAATAAAAAGAAGAGTATTCAAGAAGACGGATGACGACGACTAACGTTGCCTGAAGATTTTTTAAAATTGTCATTGAAGGGAGAGCAAGAAGCTGAAAAATAGTTGCACAGGCGAAGAGTTTGAGGGAAGAAACTCTTAGAATAGAACTTACGGTTACAATTAGCAATTTCAACAGTGGAGTTATTAGACCGAGGCTTTGTTTGATTTCTTTTAGCGACATATCAACACCTCTATGGGTTTTTGTTATGGGACCTTACCCATTATAACATAATGGACTATTCCATACGTAATAAATACTGCGCCTCAAGTGGAAGCAGGGAGTTCAGTCTGAAGTCGGGCGACCGGCTGATCGGTTGAACTCTCTGCCTTCGGGCGGGGAGGAACCCGGACGAGGCTACGCCGAAGGGCGGAGTCTCTTTCGGAGAGGTAAACCTACCCGGAACCCGTTTATACGGGTTCAAAGGGCATATTTTTGGCCGAGCCCACGGGATCGAAGATCCCACGTTAAACCGGCCTTGTGCCACATGATGCCCTCGTGGGGTGGGGGGCTAAATACTATTCAATCCGAAGTCGGGCGACCGGCTGATCGGCTGATCGGTTGAACTCTCTGCCTTCGGGCGGGGAGGAACACGAACGAGGCTACGCCGAAAGGCGGAGTCGCTTCCGGGGAGGTAGACCGACCCTGAAACGGTTTATACGGGTTCAAAGGGCATATTTTTGCCCGAGCCCACGGGCTCGGAGATCCCACGCTAAACCGGCCTTGTGCCACATGATGCCCTGGTTGGGGGGGTGACTAAATACTGTTCAGTCTGAAGTCTGGTGTGAAGTCCGTCAGGAGTCTGTCAGTCAGTCAGTCAGTCAGAGCGAGCGAGTCAGTCAGTCAAGTCAGAGGCAGTCCGAAACAGAGTCGCGTTCAGACAATTACTACTAAACATGATTGTTCGTACTAACACTTTCTACTTCTCTGTATATATTCCTGTTTGTAATATATCTGTGTTATTCCATATCCGCCTTCGAGTTCTTCTTTATTGGTTCTACCTTGGACTATCACCGTGGTACAAGGAACCGGACCATAACAGTTATTTACCGCCGAAATCTAAATATTTTCTACGCAATTTTATGATTTCAACTACAGATATTTTGTATATAATTTTATACTTTCAGAGTAAAGGTTTGTATATCTGTTATATAGGAATAAAGTGTCGCTGCCGACACTGGAGTTTGAACACAGATCACCAGAGAGCAAACACAGGCGATCCCATTTTGAATAAGTAGATCACGTGATGGCAACGGAAATGTATATATGGTAATTATCTTGGGGTTTAGTTGATACCCATTTCTAGTCTATACTTTGATACTCTACAGATCACTGTTTCTACTCTATCCTCTATTACTAATCGGATCGCCATTTCTAGTCTATCCTCTATTACTATACGGATCACCATTTCTAATTTATCCTCTATTGCTATACGGATCGCTATTCTCTACTCTATTCACTATACTATTTCTCTATTTCGATCACTATTCGGTGGTTACTATTCGAGCGGGTATTATCGAGCAAGTACTATTAATGCGAGTGCTATTTTTATACTTATTTACTGTTCCATTGATTGTCATTTTGCTATAAAAATGTAATAATGGTCATTTTATTGTAAACATGTACTGTTCATTTCTGTTTTGGGGTTCACTACTTGCCTATAGCTGGGACCCTAACAGGTACTACCACCCTGGGCCAGGGTGGACCTGGGAACAACAGCAGCTGAGAAGTTGTACCGCGTTCCTCAAAACTTCCAATCTCCCGATCAGGTGCCTTGCTGCCGGTTGGAGTTTATTGTCATACCCAGGACGATGAGACCGAGATGCCAAGTACTACGCTTAAATCTATGAAGTGAAGATACCAAACAGCAAAGCTAATCCACAACCGCTATGCACATATTTGCATAATAGGCGTGTAGTCATACTCTCAGAGTAATAAAAATAAGGGTGGACATATTTGTATACACGTTATGAGGATATGTAAGTAATATAGGATAATGACTGAAGGTCAACTGTTGACTGAGTTCGACCACTTTCGCGAATGAATTGCTGATTTCCTTGCCGCTGAGTTCGGTCCTGAAGATTACGTTTAAGCATGAAACAGATTGCCGCCATTCGGTGTTGAACTTTGAGTCCTCGCTGATTATATTTACATAAGCCCTATCTCAGATATTGAGTAATTTTACCCTATAAATATAGCACACATTAGAACTACAATTATTATTATTATATATATATATATATATATATATATATATATATATATATATATATATATATATATAAGTGAACAGAGAAGTCAACACTTAGTGTTGACTTCTATATTCACTTTTATATTTACACACACTCTATCTCTGATATTGAGCACTTTATCCCATAAATATAGCACAGCTTAAAACTATATTTCTTCATATATATATATATATATATATATATATATATATATGGAAAGTGATAGGGAAAAATGACAGAGATAGAGAGATGTGGATAGAGCAGCAAAAAAAATTATAAAGAGTGATTGGTATTGGTCTCGCACCTGTCTTTTTTTTTTTCTGGACTGACGATTCAGAGACGTCTCCCTCTCCATGCCGGAGAGAGAGAGTTTGATAAAATAAGCAAATTTATGACTTTTTCCCTCTGCACCAATGTCTTTATCAAATACATGATGATAGATTTTAATTAACTGTACAACTTTGTTTATTCTCACATTTTCCGTTTTTCTTGTTTTCTTTAGTCTCCAACTTAATCTCTTAATGTACAGTAAGAAAAAAAAAGTGGACATATAAATCTCATCTCTCGCCAAATTACGCATAGGACAAAAATGGCGGCAACAAAGTTCAACGGGTACAAAACAGACACCGGCATTTTTTTTTTCACTTTTTAAAATTAAATTCCTTTAAAAAAAATTACTTCAGGTTAAAGTTTTTTTTTTAGTTGTTCGGTTGAGTTTTCATCATTCTAGATTCTATTAACCGCTCCATTCCGAAAATAAAATAAAAATAAAAAGATAAAGATAAAATTAGTAAAAGGATGACTTGTTCTCCTCATTTTTCTTTTAATCGTTTTTATTATATTTTTTTTTCTTTTTACCTCGAATGCAAGGGTTTCGATTATAC